CCCCCCAAAAAAAAACAACAACAAACAAAAACAAAACAAAACCCATCGGCCCATAAAAATGAAAAATCACCATATGCTCAATGGATAGTCCAGCTATGGTCGCGCCATCAGTTAACCCTTCCTTCCTAACCCGACCCCTGACCTAGAGTAAGCAATGCATGCAGTGTGTAGCTGCTGCACCACAGTCCCATTCCACAATGAAACTCACAGTTTTATGACAACAAGGAAGAAAAACTCACATGTTTAAGACAGAGCTATTAAAACAAACTAACACTAACATTTTTACTAAAGTGTGACTCAGCCAGTACATAGGTATTTTAGGTATTCTTGCCTGAACTGGCCTAATGCAATTGGTGCAACCTCAATGCTTTTGCAATTTGCAACCAATTTTCCACATTTCTAAAACTGTACTGCATAACTATATAAATCATTACTAAGATTTTAGAGTCATGGACCCATTGTTTAAACTAGACCTTGGGTAGCTTACTTTTACTATGCCAACCATTCTTTATAATTGCTCTTTGACATGTGAACATCGTATGCAACACCATGACAGCTTGAAAAAGGAGGAACTCAGTTTCAAAACTATTTTACAAGAACAGAATTGTTTTCAGCATGTTTTGGGGCTCAAGGATAGAGACAATGTGATGTGGCGAGAAATACTGTTATCGTTTTGTTTCCTTGAAAAAAAAAAAAGACTACAAACTCTGAAGGGTACCTTTAGGGTGATTTGAGAGTGAGCTGTGTGTGTCACACAGCCATCTCTGTATCTGGTGGAGAATATTCACTACTGAAAAATTTAACAAATATATCAGGCTGTCCTTTGATTACGTGTGCCATTAACTGCCTGATTATACATGAACCCCATGAAGAAACATGATTGTTTGCATAAATAATATTTATACAAACCTTCCACTGAGAGATGATTTTTTTTGTTATGCTTCACCAGCACCCCTGAATGACTTCTTGTGGATGCTGTGCACAAAGCACTATTCTTTCTCCCTGCTTGATTACATGTTAATATATTCCAGAAGTTAAAAGTTCTGAGTGCAAAATGATAGATTTTCTTTTATCCTGCAACCCCACCACAGTGACTGAGGCAGCACTTTGCTACACCCCCAGAGTAAACGTATTCCTTTGGTCACACTTCGAGTCTCGGAAGCAAAGCAGAGGTTTAAAAGTAGAGCGCAAAAAGGATTCCCAAACATCTCTGACAAACAAACCTATCCCCTCCAGACGTAAACCTCCACCATGCTGTGAACCTTGTTAGAATAAAGACATTGCCAATCCAGCTGCGAACCTGTGATAGATGCTTAGGTAATTCCTAATTTCAGCTCACATTGTGTGACCAACAACTATGGAAAGAAAACAAGCATTCCACGAAACACTGAGGTTCATATTTTACTTTGTTGGTTTTTACCATCATTCATCGTCTAGAGTTCATGACCTGTGAATGTTTGGCATTAGTGTTTCTGGGTGGTTAGTTCTTAAGGCTATGACAGGATTCAGAAAATAGGGTTAGGGACTGACTGACAGTCAGTCGGGAAAAGAATGAACTAAACTGCAATATAGTCTTCAATAACAGAAATGGTTTAAGAAGTAAACAATTGTTAGATATTTAGGTATGATAATTTAAGCCCCCTGATACAATACGCAACTGAGGCTAACAACTCTGTGATTCAATTACAGCTACTATTAGCATACCAACATGCTTACAATTGCTTTGCTAACATAAGAAAGCCTGTGTTGGTGAAAACACACAACCTGTCTTTCTTTTTTGACCACCAATGGCCAAAAACGAAAAAAAAAAAAAATCCCCCAAAAATGTGGCAAAAAAATCGGAAGACCACCAAGAACCCCTCACAGAACAGACAAGACAAATGACATGAAAAATGGCAGGAATATCATGACAGAGAGTCAAGGGAGAAGGTGTGAGAGTCGCTAGGAGAGGAAGCAGCAACTGTAAGCTGATTATCCACCACACGCTCAGAAGGATATCAGCAGAACCAACCATCTGATGTGGACTCCCATTTGGATCAGCTGATCTGCTGGTAGCTGGCTGAGCTCAACACAGTATGCTGCCTGAAGTAACAATATGTTCAGCTGTTAAAAGCCAGATGTTTTTTCTTCTTATCTGAAACTGTATTTCAGCTGTGCAACCTTTTGAGACCTGAATGCAGATAGGAAAAATACTGTAAGCACCTGAAATCAAACTGCAAATCCATACTGTTGTAATGTGTAAAAAAAGTAGTTTATATATCGTTCCAAATACATCACTTTAGAGGTATCTTTAGAAAAACTGGATTCATTTGCAATAAGAGATGGTGCAAGCAGGTTTTAACATAGCGGCAATCTAATCAGCATAAACACAGAGCTACCTCCCATATATATTAATTCAGTAACACAAAAAAGAAAACAATAGCA